TACTACTCGTCGTCTTCGCTTGGCGCACATTTGACTTAATATTCAGACGGCTCGGCTCTTCGCTTGTAAGTGCACAATTTACTTGTATGAATTCGGTTCTGCTTGCTTGGCTATGCGCTGTTCGGCAAAGCCGAGAAGAATAGAAGACAAGATGAAAATTAGAAAACTGAAATTTGAAAATGCGCAAGTTTAAGCGCGTGTCACAGCAGAGCGCGGTCGGGCGCTGATAGTCGGCAATAATGGTCCGGCGGCCAGCCAACCGCYGGAGTGGCGAACAGCTGCGCGTGGATTTGCTGCATGACTGCATATTGTTGCTCATTGCCTGCTTGTTGGTTTTATTTTTGCCTTTGTTGCCATGCTTTTTGACATTTGTTAGCTGTTTACTTGTGATGTTTGCGGTTGTTGCTCTTGTTATTGCCACTTTGGTCGCCTCGGTGGTTTGCGATTTTTTGCTCTTTTGCTTTTTGGCTCATGTGTAATTGTTTGTTTATCTGTTTGCTGTTTCTTGGTGCATATAGTTTGTGGACCAGGCCAAAAGAGGTCATTTACTCGTACTTTCTCTCACGTACAAGTAGCTGCAAACAAACTTACTCGTACACGTGTATGTACATACATAACGAGTTGTCCGAGTAGAATAGCAAACAACTAGCGAATAACTAAGAAACTAACAGAAGTTGCGGTGGTGGCCTGGAAGTTTTTGATTGCTCACCGCTCCACACTGCTCGGCGCTGCAATGGCTCATTAAAAGTTTTAAACGAACTACAGTTTCTAGCGGAATAATATCAAAAATAAATGTGGCATAAGTTCCGTCCAAACCGCAACGAATCGAAAGTAGACAAGTGTGAGCGTAATTTTGAATAAATTATTTATAGTTATATGTAATCTTGTTTTAAATAGTAATAATTTGAAATAATAAACATTCAAGGTAACTAATTGTAAGTATGCATTTGCAAGAAAAATTCAACTTTTGTCGATTTTTTTTTTTTTGTTGTTTTTTTTTTTTATTTTCTAGAATTTGTGGTCGATCAGCTGTTTTCTGTGACATCTGTGTCCAATGTCACAGCAAAATACTCATTAGTGTTTAGAATACGCTTGTTTTTCTGAAGTACATACATGAAATGCAATCGGCCAGAATTAAGCTTGATTCTTTGTAAGTTTTTCGCCAAATTTTCAATCAATACCGCCTGGTTTATCTCCGTGCRACTTCTGATATTCAGGGCTATTATTGACTTTAAGAACTGTTTCGAGGATTGGAAAAAATGTTAGCAAAAGTGTATTGGAATCAAGGAGATTACTTTGAAGCGGATGACATAGATTTTGAAGAATAAATTAAGAATTTTTAAATTATGAGCAAAGACAATTAATGATAAGTTCTTTATAACAACAACGTCTTTACATCTCATTAAATTCCTGTTTACATTCGTAAGCTTCTAAGCTCTTCCACATAGTATGTATGTACATAAATTAAGCAAATATATGAAGATACACATACTGCATATGTAATAAAAGCAATTGGGTACAGTCATAACATATTTTGTGCCTTACAATTGTCTTAGAGCGCATGATGTCAACTTAATTGAAATAAGACGATCGACCGCATAGCCGCAGACAACACAAAATTACATTGCACAAATTAGACCTAAGCCACAAGTGTTCGTAAATATTCAAACATTAATACGTGACTAGATTAGATTACTCAGAAAACTTCATAAAATTGTGGAATTTTTTCTTCAAAAATTAAAACATTTCTCGAAGCTATTTTAAAATATATTTAAGGAAAACTTAATAATTAATATTAATTAATGAAATTATTTATGGATATTTCGAATCAGACATAATTTTCTTTATTACAATCAGATTTAGTATTAGTTTAGTTTAGTTCTGTAACATTCCTAAAATTCCAATTACAAATTTACTGCTTAACCATTTATACACAGTTGACTAGGAGTGCTAGGATCTCATCCGCATGGAATTCAACAAGAAAAGTTATTATTTTGTTCGCAGATTTTACGATAGTCGATTAATTCTGTACATCGAGTAAAATTCGCATTCTAATTTTTAGAAGATACAATTGTTTTTAATTTTTGTTTAAGTTTAATATTCTTAATAAAATAAAAGAACAGCAAAAAGAATTTGCGAAAATTCCAATAAAAACTAAACATACGCATACATTCATATGTGTGTATGTGTGTAAAAGTACATGATATAATGTAATAATAATAATACTTAAAGTCAACACCATGAAAATGAGCATGACGAAACAGAAAACTGGATTTTAAGAAAATTAAAACAACAAGAGAATGTAAAGAAACCATAATAAAGCAATAAGCATGCCCAAGGTCGGTTGGTGGCGAATTCCGAAAAAAGCACACATGCACGTACTCGTAATGGCATAAGTACCAGCAGCAGCATTCCGCAACACACTCGGAATCTGGCCAGACCGGAACAGGCCATAGACCAAACCAAACGAATTTCACAAATCGCACGAGACCTAAGAGTGTGTATGTATGCATATTCAAGCAATCAAGTGAAGTAAATGGACTTCGAGTACTCCGAGTGCCTCAAGCCAATTTCTTGCCGCTTGCAAATGAGCGCAAATGCAAGAAAAAACACGATTTGTTTAACGTTTTCACTATCATTTTGTTATTTGCCTTGCCAAATTACAGAAGTTGTTATTTGCCTTATTCATTTTCGAATTTGTTAAAGTGCAGACAAATCGTTGTAGAAATTGATGTTGAGCGCCTACTTACACTACYRYATARCTGCCAGCTACCGACTTGSTAGAGTGTACAGTGATGAGCAACGTTTTCAACTTCAGCTGGTTACTTCAGCAGCGCCCACGCGTAAGGCCAGTGGCGCATACTAAAACTCAACAGGATGCCGCGTACTCTTGAATTCATCATTTCAGTGGTTAGGTTTGATAAAGACCTCAGTTGATTGCCAGCAGCGCCTCATTTTCTTCATCATTCGAAAAGCCGAGTTCGTTAATATTTATTTGTATGCGAAGAACCTACACATTTACACCTGCAGGATTACACATTTTTCTGCTGTTCACTTTGACTTCTTGGTTTGTGTTTTATATTTGCGCTGCAACTCGTTATGTATGTACATATATACATAAGTAAATATAATATGTACCACACACTATTCCCAGCCAATCCCATTACATAAATTCTATAATTATCCCAACTCTCAGCGCGTTCTTCCAGGTCTATTTTTGTATTGTATAAGCAGAGAACTTAAGTTCTCTGGTATAAGCTGGTGCGACGCAGCCAGTAGAGCAGCAAAAACCACATTTTCTCACGTCATCTCAGAACAAGAAGTCGAGACAGACAGACATCGCAGCATACAGATAAATTAATTAAATAAAGAAATTATGTTAGTTCTTTTAGWGTATTTAACACTACAGATGTTGTATGTGCTTGTTGCCCAGACGCCGGTGTAGCGAGTAAGTCTACAAACCGGCTCCGCGAGCAGCAACTAACGACTCGTTGACTGCCAGAACGACTTCAATCGCTTACAGTGTAAATCTCTAAAATATTGTATGTACATACATTTGTAGCTAGCGGCCTGGCGTGTGTAAATCGTGCTGGTAATATGAGATCAGCAACTAACCAACGAGTTAGACCCTGCTGCTGCACAGCATTCGGCAACCTAAGCAGCTGCGTCATCACACCAGTACGCTTAGCCCCACTAGACTGTATGTGCACAATTTTGCCCGCCAATGTACATATGATATAGCAGTGCTCTCCACTTAGCAAATTGCATGCATAAAAAGTGATTTGATAATTTCACGAAATTCTTTATTAAAGTGCAAGACTTTTTTTTTGCTTACACTGCCAAGTTTTTCTATTCAATAGGCATTCAAGTAGTGCAGTGAATCATTGAATTATTGTAGGAACTAAAATAGCTTTCACAGTAAATTAAGCAGCCAAAAAAAAAACGCAAGCAAAAGAACTATTTGTGAATGACTTACAATTTGTAGGAGTACTTACAGACATTTACATAGATATGTATGTACAAATGTAAGAAATTGCAACAATAATTCGCTTCCGGTCTGCGGTTATGACAAGTCTACTTTATTGCAGAAAATGTGTGCGCAACTGCAAAGCAATGTATAAATTTATACATATATGCTCATGCGTATGTATGTATGTATGTATTTATATCAAAATTAGGTGTAAGTTTCTTTTCAAAAAACTTCGGTGTGTGTACACCTGCACCAGGTAAAGTTTACGGTCATTGCAGTCATTAGATTAAAATAAATGTCCACTCAACTCACATAATATATGTATGTACATWAATATACAAACAAACAAAAATTAATTGTATTTACATTAAGCAAATGCATAATAGTTTTATAAGAGTTTACACTTGCAGATAAGAGCAGGCTMAAAGAGTAAAAAGTAAAAGAAAAAATCAGAGTAAACGAAAAATCTGCGCTTCAAGCATAATTTTGTAGGTAAATTGAGATTCATATAGAAAATCAAACAAAACCTTAATAAACATTTTTACTCTTAACGTCATTGTTGTCTTATCACGACGGGTTGTCTTGTCTGTCTCGTCGTTTGTGTCTTTGTTCGTCTTTCTGACTACGCGCACCACAATCGGAATATTTTTAAACAAGCACATTAAAAAATAACTAAAAAAAAAAAAAAATAAAATAATAATGAGACACACGTAGTGGAGAGAAATTACATTTCAAATTGCAGTAAAATAAAATTTTTCATAAACTGATAAATATTTGCAAAATGTTCTTAACTCTTGAAAAARTTCCAAACAACAGAGGAACTAAACAATTTTTTGGGCACACCTGTTGTCCCGTTTTTACACATGTCAACTGGGAAACGCAACCAGCGCTGCGCCGCAGAAAACAAAAAAAAACAGACTTATAAGAATTTATGAATATTGCATTTGCATACACAACTAGTTTCCACCTGATATTTATTTATATTATAATATTACGAAATGATTAAACGAAAGTTCAAACTTAAACTCACTTTATCCAAACATTTCAACTCTTCGATGGGATACACCACTTTCTGACAGCGAGCACAAGTTTTATTCATTTTGCGACTTTCTTCTAGTGTTTGTTTGCGGCTACTAGTATTCCCTTGCTTCGTTGTTTATTCGCCTGTTGATGCAGTGGATCGCGCGTGCGCACTATAGTGTCACCTACGGATGCTATTTTTTTTTTTTTTTTAATTATAATTCACGTTTCACCGGGATGTTTAGCTCAGTAAGCCCTGCAATTCGTGTAACTTGCAACTGCTTTGGCAAATCAAAGATCTTATTTGTATTTACTCAATTATATATCACACACACTAAACTCGTTTCAATTTTTAAGACKTTTGCATTGGTTCACCGATCAAATAATTAGTTTGCAGAAAATTTTGTCCCAAATTTTTATATTSTAGTGAAATTTCTAATATCTATTGGTTGTTTTCAATAAACAAAAGAACTGAAAAGTGACTGAAAACACCCAACAGACCGAATATAGGAATTCAATCAAAAAATCCAGTTGGTATCAGCCGATGTTGTTTGTGCACTGGTTGTGTTGGTTGGGTGAACCTTTACAAGAATTCGACTTTTTAGATCTGCTCTTTTCGTTTACACACTTTTCCAACTTTGCCAATTCGTTTTCTGCTCTGTGCACTAACCACTAAAGCAACAAAACGCGACACGATCGACGGCAAATGGCTGAGTCCAGTACCAAGTTAAACCAATTGGAAAATATTTATAACTTGCACAATGGGAAATTTTCTAATTAGATTGTCACTCTTATGTAGTTTTCACTAATTGCACTTTGTTACTTATATTTCACTAATAATATTAACATGCCCGTGTTCTTGCTGAAAGGTATATTTTTTAAATTTAATAAACGCTTTTTAACTGCTACGCGACAAATATAAAATAGTAAGTTCACTACCAGCGCAAGAGAAAGACTGAGTAAAAGCAAAATTAAAAACACGAACCTACTGGAGTCGCTCCAATTGCCGCCGCTGGAGCCAACACAGAGTTGCTTTTTATGGCATGCGGAATACTYGTTATTGAACACTTGTGGAATATATTGTACAATGGTATATTCATTTATTGCACAAAATTTATTTTGGCTTACGACATACAACATTAAATGAAATAACATATTTAAGTCTTGTAGTTTTACCTGTTGATGTTATTTTGCATAATGTATTGAGAAAAAGGTGAGACTACTATAATAATTACATTTTTAGTATTTCATCGATAAATTCGCTAATATTTAATATTCTACAAATAAACACAGCTATCATTAAACACAGCTAGKCGGAATATTAACATTCACAAAATCCAAATATTAGAAACTATTTTTGAACCTTTCACAAAAACAATAACAGTGCTCTCATATAATTATATTTCCATTCAATTTTATTAGACTATCACGAGAATAGARAGATAAACTGAAAATATTAGGCTAGCTGTGTTAGCACTTTTCCACCAAAACGCGAATCGCAACAACCATTCACAATGGCAAAGTGTCAATCACTTATTATCCTTCTTTCCCATATCCTTTTCCGTCATTGAATTTCCAATGAAAGTAGTAATTCGGYCATGGGTTCGGCGACAATGAAAGGCGTTGCACTGAAAATTTCCTATTGCTACGCAAATAAATTCAGCAATGAAAGTGCAATGCGTTGAAACGGGTCAACAAAAAAGTGCATCCGAATTACCGGAGCTGCTGCTTAATTAAACGGAAGTGTTACAAGGAACGTCGGCGGTTTTGAAAATTTCCTTAGCAAGTGTGTGARAGATGATTTTGTGTATCCGAAAAGTTGTGCGTTAATTACCATGAAATAAAAAATTGCTTATTAGTTTTARTCCATTTAACATAAAGAACAATAGACCCAACACAATATTAATAAAAAGAATAATTCTCCTCTCGCACGACACATACGGTGCACCGAGCCTTCTTTGCCCAAATACTACACCGAGGCGTTGATACAGTGAAAAATCGATAAAAGTTGCTGTATTCGAAATGCCGGTGTTGCAGTCATACCGTCAGGCTGTCGGCTAAACAGCTATCACATTGCTCATCTACACATCGACCAAGAATACTACACAACAACAAAAGCAAGAATAAAAATACAAACAAAGAGGTGTGCAATAAAAAGAGTCAAAAACAAACTACGGCATCCCTTGGAAAGTAAACAAAACAAATAAATTATGATGAAAGCGGATGAATTGTGAGTGAAAGAGGTGCTGAGTGGTTTCCATGACATTACGTTTAATTGAGCYGCCTGTAATTAGTTTGACACCAAAAACCAACCTAATAGCTCAGTAGGTGAATCCTAAAAGATAAAGTAAAAATTAGAGTAAAGCTACTGTTAAAAATTTAAATAAATTGATTAATAGTCACAAAATATGTAATAGGTATTATGGTTGATATTAAGCGCGAATATGAACACTTTCTAATTTTACTGTGATATTATTATTGTTTGAAAATCTCCTTAGAAAGCACCAAAGATAAAATTATTTAGTTTATTAATACGTTCGCAAATGCTACAAAGTATTCAAAGGWGAAATATTCCTCGAAGATTAACCAAAGATAGCAACACAATATAAGAAACTTCGCAAATTGGCGAAGAGAAACTGGAAAGAGCCCAATATGCAAACGCTCCGCAAAAAGACTAGTCCCTGCAAATGTAAGTGCCTACTTGTGGATTTTACTGCAATATTTTAACTTTTTCTCTTCTTTTTTTTTTTGTTGAATTAATGTATTAATTTACGTATTTGTTTATTTATTTATTTCGAAAATTTACGAGCGAWTATTTGCTTATATCATTTTATGCTGGGAGTTGCTAAAACGAAACGTCATGTCAAATACAACTCTGCTTAAAGTATCTGCACCTGCAGTGCACACRCACATTAAAAGAACGAATGTATCTGACATTTGGCCACACGAAACAGTAGCAAGCAGAATATTCTGCTGCAGATACATTTGTATTCATAGTTTATTTATTAGATGCGTTTATTGTTTGACAGGCAGCTGCACAGTGATTTTATTTACATTTAAGAATTAAACCAACTCAAACAAATTGATATAAAAGTGTGTTGAAATATTTATAAATAAATAACATTACTAATTAATAACATGATAAGAGAAAATTAATGGTTTATGCACAAAGTAACTGTGAAATGTGCAAATATTGATCGCGGAACAGTTGCAGCGTTTGCCGAGAAAATTTAAAAGTGAAGATGTTGCACTAGTGTGACTCTCTGAATTATCAACTACGTTACCGAAATAGTRAATTGAGAAATGTTTAAGTGAATCTCTAGTTGTGTCCGTAATAATAATATTGCATCGCTGTTGAAAAAATCTGCACTGAAAAATCAATAAACGCAAAGGAGACAYTGCGACAGGCACGAAAGGAAATACATACATATGTACATATGTACAAATGTRGATGGATAGTGCTGATGCCCGCTTCTGACGAAGGAATGCGACAAAGCTGAATAGTTGTTACGAATTCAACTCGTAGGAGCTGACGTTTATTCACGTACATACGAATATGTACATACATACATATATTTKATTAGCAGACAAAAGCATGAAGGAAAGCAAAGTTGACAATTGCCATTTCGCCTGGACATTATAATCATTGAATAAATATAAACAATACGTACATGACAATGTCAACCTAGACTACAGCGCGATACTAAAGGAAGCGTTTTGTTTATACTTGTGTTGTTATATGTGCGCACCCACATGCTTACTTTCCTAAATGTGTATGTGTGCGTGTTTCTGTGACTGCCTGTCACTTCCAGACACACTACGCTACTGCCTGCAAATAATAGTACAAGCGCACATACAATCACTCGGTCGACGCAGTGTGGAGAACCTACAATACTATTCATCTACGTGCATAGATAGATGCAAACATATGTATGTACATTGTGCAAAGCCAGAGCCAAGCAAACAGTGTACGCGGTGGCTGCGGAGGAATTTTGCGCTATTGACCGAATAAAATAAAATAAGCACTGTGCTTTAARCAGAGGAAGTCTCCAATTCAACACACAACTCACCCTGCAGAGGCTTGGCCCACCTTCAATTCTACGAATAAAAGAATATACATAAGTGAAAACAAATCAACGATTGGTGATAAGCTGCAGCGGTAGCGGGTGAACGCTGGCAATGTGGCGCTACTTGAATTCGCTGGGGATGGTATGAAGGCTGATGATGTGATCGTTGACGCCTGATTGGGTGTTTTTGTAGTAACGCGTTTATATATACCCACACACACACACATTTATTTCAGCTTCCGAATATGCACTCATGTGTAACAACAAAACACTTGTACATGTGTTGTTATAGTGAGAATAAACAATTTTGCTTTCAACAATAATAGCAACATTAAGCAATTACAACAAGCAAAATAAGCAACGTACATATAATAAATAATAAATAAGCCCAATTTTCAAGCATATAMTAAATACATTGCAAATAGTCGATGCAGAGCTATACCATAGCATCGAAAATAAAAGATAATCGAAAGGCCTAAAGGKCAAATTTCGCWGATTATCAATTACGTTACGGCAGCTTCCTCGTCACCGAACATATTGGATTTCCATTGAGAAATRTCATTGCGTGTATAATACTCACATYAGGCAACCATCACAATAGCTTAGCAAACAGTATTTAGCATAGTGATTGGGGTTGAGCGCGGTTGAGCGCTGCGCATTGTCATCAGAGACTATGGTTAAGTCATTGGTTTCGAAGCTATCGGCCGCATCATCAAATCTATCGCTCGCTTCAACGCTCTCCTCGGTTGGTGTGGGCAGCGGCAGTAGCGGTGTGCAGGAGACGAATTACGCAAAACGTTAGCATTTGTATTCAAATCAAATTTATTGTTTAGTACTTTCGTATTTTTATTTATTTCCTTCTTATTTAAAAAAAAAAAATATTGATTTAAAGTTTTAAAATTACTAACAATGCCCAAACAGTTTAAGAATAAGTTATTTTGTGGCAATACATATTTTAAGCACCAAATCTACAGAGCTAAAAATAAGCTGCGCTGATTTTTGAGAATTATATCTAATTGTTGTCGCAATTTTTAACTTCACTTTATTTCATTTTCAAACAATAGATCGCAATGATCCCGGTCGATTTTTCGGCGATGGCGTCCARTTCAAAGCAAAGCTTATTGGCATACTCGAAGTTGGCGAGGCGCGCGGCGATCGCATGTGTCAAGAAGCCCTACAAGATCTTAAAATAGCCATACGCGCAGCCGGCGAACATAAACAACGCATAACGATACACGTGACAATCGATGGGCTGAGACTGCGCGATGAAAAAACAGGAGATTCCCTTTATCACCATCCGGTGCACAAAATATCCTTCATTGCGCAGGATATGACCGATTCACGAGCATTTGGCTATATATTTGGTTCACCGGACAGCGGTCACCGTTTCTTTGGTATAAAGACTGACAAAGCGGCTAGTCAGGTGGCGACTTAACTGTTACTAAGAAATAACAAAATTAATTTTACTATTTCTAGGTCGTGCTGGCAATGCGCGATCTCTTTCAGGTAGTTTTCGAATTGAAGAAGAAGGAAATCGAATTGGCGCGCCAGCAAATACAATCGAAATCCATACATGAACATCAGCTTGCCTCATTGTCGTCGCTTAAGTCCGCCGCGGGCGGTATTGGCACCGGCTTGGGTGGTCATAATGATCTTAGCAGCAGCGGCGGGGTCGGTGGTGGTAGCGCGCTGTCCATGTTAAGTGGCATCGGCGGGCAAAGTCGTGCAACAGCCTCGAATAGGTTGGGTGTCAATTTGGATAACAAGGGAGCAGCGAAAGAGGTTTTCCTTTTGTARGATTAAATGCTTATTTTAAGACTCACAAATCCATCCTTTGTAGATGTCACCTGAATCCGTAGCCGATTTGGTTGATTTGGAGCAAGAGTTAAGCTCTTTGCAACGCGGCATCACACAAATGGAACGTATCACACCCAACGAGCCAGCGCAACCTACAGCAGCCGGCGTCTCTGGGAAGTCAGTTAACGAAGACGATCCTTTTGGAGACTCATTTACCAACTTTCCCGTAAGCCACTTCTTGCTTTTATCTCTTGTTGTACTACTAATCACGCATTAATTCTGTTTCAGACATACAATCTCCTGCCGCCTCCAGAATCGGGACGCTCACGTCATAAGCCCACTAAGGCGACTGATACGGCAGTAAATCAAACAACAACATCAGTGAGCGCTGGTCAAAATGTTACGCTCTCCTCCTTACTTTCGCCTGCGCCGGTCTTGAACACTTCCACCGGCACTCTGCAACAAGAAGACGACGACAGTTGGCTGCATGAACTGGACCAGCAAAACGATGTATTTGACACTTCAAAAGCGGGCAACATGAGCATAGGTGTTGGWCTGCCAATGGCACCACTGGCCCCGAGCGAATCAACGTCCACACCTACACAACAATTGAGCGAACATTCGACACTCGTCGATGTTGAAGCAGCTGCCAATGYGGCAACCAACGCGAACATGCAACCGTCCGGCGGAGCTGCGGCAGCGACCTCAGCGTCCACTTTGGGCGTCACATCGTCTTCGCCGACACCGATTTTGRGCGATGGGCCGCCACAGACAGCCGCGAGTGYTGCAGTGAAGTCAGGTAGATTGGAAGAGCATTTTCTGGAAACACTTTCTTTTAACGAACTCATGGTTTATTTGATTAACTCCTGTACAAGWTTGCCTMAGTTGTTTCTAACGGTTTCGGGTATTGTGTTGTAATTATAGCATGTAATTTGTGTCTACTTTACGGATCTGTTGCAAATCACTCACTTGCCTAAGACAGGTTAGGTTGTATAATTCGGTATTATTTTTTTTTTCGAACAAATCAAGCCTACAACCGACTATCTTCGGAATATGTTAGGTTCATATTATATCTTACAAATTATTTTCCAGTTTGCCACAGGTCCATATCAGTTGATCACATGTTTGGTTTGGTTTCTATGATTGTGTTTGTTTCGTCAGTTATGTTTGATTTGTTAGTGTGGCCCGCTTATTCCCGCTACAAAACACTACATAACATTGTCATTCCCTYTCGCTTTCGGCTACGGGGCAATTTCACTGATTCATCACTTTTTCCCATGTGTTAGATGCTTTTACAGATTTGGATCCATTAGGCACGGGTCGCACACGTCCCTATGTCGATAAGAAATACTTCTTCCAAGAGCTTAAAAACCCACCCAAAAAAGTGCTCAACGACCTGTCTTCAGGTGGCAACGGCACTGTAGAYATAACGGCAACAGGTGTGCACTACACGGCCGCCTCGGCGGTGGTCGATGAGTTCCTGAGCAAAGAGGGTCTCTTCGAGGATGCCCTAACCGCTGGTATGGACGAGCAGGGCGAAGTGGCTCAGCAGATGCAGCCGCCGCAGCTGCATGCCGCGCAGAAGACACAGCATTCTCTATCAGCACCACTTAATATTACTAACACTACTCATGCATCAGGTATAGCCGGCTTAAAAACAGCCTTGAACACTAACAAAACTGTAGTTAATATAACGGCGTCTGCAACAGCAGCAGCAACAACAACTACAACAACTTTACTAATCGGTGTGCTCGCACCACCATGCACGGTTAACATTTGCACCTGCACCATAAGCAGTACSAAATACACGAGCACCGCTTCTAATGTTGTTGTACCAAGACTAACGAATACTAACCACCAACTAGCATCTAGCAACAGTTTACTAACAACCTCTATCTACTCTACTAATTCCACAACAGCTTCTACTTTAAGAATGCACCATTACCAGCCGACTTTATCGTCGGCAACGTCTTCGTGCACTACAACAAACATACCCACTAATCTCCATTTAAATCATTACACTTTAGACTCCACGGCGCCTGCTGCTGGAACAACTGACGATGTTGTAATGATGCCGCGTGACACCGATCCTTTCTCACCCACACGTAAGAAGAGTGATCCATTTCAGGAGGGCGGTGATGTGTTTGCCAAATTGGACCCATTCGAATTTGAATTCAACAGCGGCGACGCCACTAACCAACATAGCTCTCCAACCGYCAGCGCGGAGACCTCTCGTCCTGCGGATGTCTTTAATGGTCCACTGCAGGTTAGCTTGCCGCCGGAGAGCAGTCTTTCGCCCACGTTAGCACAGCCGTTGAGYACAGCAGCRCAATGGCGTGCTGATGTAGCGCGCTTAGAGCGTCAAATGARCGAACCGGTAGCAGCGATGGGCAACGGAAGTGCCATACCGCCAGTTGGTGTCAATAGCACTGTGCGTTTGAGGCCGACRCCCTCGGGGCAGGTCTCATCGGCTGGACAGCCTTCTTCCGTATTTAAGCAGCAGACAGCGGACGTAATATCGAGCATTAGCAATAAGAAGATGCCACACCTATTTGGACAGGCACGTTTCTCCAAGCGTGAATCGAATAGTATTAATATGTGCCGTTTACAGGAGAGCGACTCACTAAGCGAGAATGAGGCGGCACCAGAGCCACCACCACGWCCGGATTCAGCATTGCATGCGGAGCCGCCGCCATTGCCGCCCAAGAAACAGTTCAATGATATTGTTATACGSCCGCGTGTGACGTCCGGTAATGCGGTACCCCCCAGCGTCGCACCGCCGTCTTTGAGCAGTCGTTATGAGTTCGTTAATACAACGTCAAAGTCTTTACGTAGCGCTAATTCCGAAGTTCCACCGATACCATTGCCATCACGTCGTGTTGGTCGCTCTGATGGCACCTACCCTGGGCCCGGTCGACCACGTAAGCCCGGACATACCGACGATGATTACTTGGCGCCTATTAGTGGTAWCGGCAGCATTGCGAATGCAGCTGCGGGAGATGTGCCACCACTCTTGCCACCTCCAACGCAAATCTCAACACGCAACCGCGCTCAACGCCAACAATCGCTTTCTAAGTCACAGGATATCTACGAGAATAAATTGGAGATTTTGCAACAGCAGCAGCAACAACAACAGCAGAAACGACAACAACAAGCGGTAACTGATGGTGGCGCTGAACTTAACGTGGCAACAGCGTCTCTCATACCCGACATCACACTGAGCCAGCTTATGACTCTAAGTTTGGATGAGCTRGCAGTGAAGTTGAATGTGCCGGTGAGCAAGCTAAGCACCATGACATTGGTAGAACTAACATCGTATCTCTCGGAATTCATTGAGAAGTCAAAGCCRCAGCGCGAGCAAGCGCTACCTAGCCATATGAGTCCTCTGCCGACCCGTCGTGTAGAAATGAAATCTATTAAGGCGGAGTCATCACCTCTACCGACTCAATCAACAGTATTTAAGGTGAACTTTGATCAGCAAGCGACATTTGTGGCAAAATTCGACGATACGTTTGGCGAGGACTTCTCCACTCACACCGCCGATGGGCAAGGGCAAGACGCTTTTGCAAATTTCGAGCAATTTAACGAGCCCCCAGTTGGTCCGCCTCCAATATTCACGGATACTAGCCAAAGCGCACCAATTGTGCCATCAGCCGATCGATATGCGGTTTTTCGTGAGATCATCGATAAAGAGCTGCAAGAGCAACAAGAAAACGCGGACCTAATTGGCGAAGTGATTAACGAGAACGAAGACGCCGGCGGCAGCATTATATCTGGAACTGATGTTGGCGGCATTGCTGCAGTARCAGATGACATTGGTGCGCACTTCGAGGCTAACTTTGATGATGACGATTTTCTTACGTCCTCTGGGGGTCCACAAGTGCAACCACCAAAGATTGATACGAAAATAACGGAAGTAGTGGCACAAGCAAAGGATCGGTACGCTGCGCTCCGYGATATAATTCTTGTCGAAAATCTTTTCGACAATAAGCGGCCAGCGGCCTTGCAGGCATCTCAGGAGTTCCCCGAATTCAGTGACGAGTTCAACGAAGATCAAGATCAAGACCTTAAGCATATAATGGATGGGCGTGCCAGCAGCATTGGACCCGACCGCTTAGGTTTAGTAGACAGTCGTGGMTTACCAGCGGAGCCTTCCTCATCYGCATTGACCGTCGAGGACGACGACGAAGATGATGATGGCGGAGCCGAAAGTAGTTTGGATAGTAATGATAAAGAAACCCGAGTTTCTGCTGCTACACAAGATAAATATGAAAAGCTGTCGACATCCACACAACAATTGGATGGTGAAAAATCTGATAAGCTAGATTTGAATGGCAGCCAACCCGAACGCTGCGCCTCACAACCTTCTCCGAATTTATTGAATGCCAAACAGGATAATAAATTCCTAACAGTTGCGGGCGGCAGCGGACTCTCTTCRTCCAAGGATGACTTGGAAATTGACGAACTTATGCAACGTGCCATATCTAATTTATCTTTGGATTCACGCGAACGCATCTCCCCYGCGAATTCAGCGACAAATATGCCCACAGTAATTGTGACATCAGGAAACTCCATAGCTTTGCCACGACCAAATGCCACGCTCTCGTCTCAGGCGCAATTCAATGACGTTAGCACGTCACCTATACCCTTACAGAAGTCTCCGATACCAGGCATTGCCCAGCAGCAACAAAGGTCACCACTGAGCAAATCGCCACAGCCATCACCAGTCCTATCTCAACTATCYGCTGTCTCGAACCTAATTGACACAGCTACAAAACAAATCAACATTGGCAGCAGTTTRCAACAAGAACCTGAAGTAAAACATTCTAAGGAGTTTTGGGCGACTTTCGACTCACCGAAGCCAAATATCGAAAAGGTAGATAAACGCGGCAGGGCTGCGGCGAAGTCTACGATGAAGAATTCATTGTTACATTTACCACCTCCGCCGCCTTCGAACACCTCACAGAACGATACAGCGGAATCCCCATGTTCGTCTGATCCACGCGATTATGGTTGGAGTAAGARCACGGGTGTCAGTCGTCGTTGGCCAAAGAAAGAACGTCATCAGACTTCGTCTTCATCTCGCGATATCAGTCCATGCGATGATGAGCCGTCTGATTTTCAAAAGCCAAAACGCATTCCCAGTGGAGTGCCCGYAATACCGCCGCCATCTTCAGATCGGCATGGGTATTATGTGAGACACACMCGCCGCTTGAACTCCTGTGATGAGGATTATGAGTAAGTACMGTGGATYTTCTCAAAAMAATCAAGTTWCCAAAGATTTGARTGTTTCTCACATTTTATTCTTCTAACAGCTACGAGGAGGAATTCAACACAAGACGTGATCATCGTAAACTAAAGCCAGGACTTTCGCGAAGCCGAGATAACTTCGATTTAGGTGACTATATTTGACGTACGGATGGTGTTAACTTAAACTCGTTATTCTTATTTCAGAATCTCCTAGTTGGTACCGYCATGCTCCACACCACACCTGGTCGCCGCAGGATATGGAGCAAGCAGCAAGTATGCGCGCACGCGCTTTCGAACGTAGCGCCTATGAACGCACCACATACGGACCTCCAGTCTACGACAAACGCGGCGTTGCGCTGCCACCCAATGCGTCTTCAAGTTATGATCGACGTAGTGGCTACGACAAACGCAGCAAATATTATCGTGATTACGCTCGTCCAAATTACGATTTTGATGATTACGGTGATTCGCCCCATGAACGTTATCGCGATGGAGGAAGTTTCGAGAAACCAAAAGTTGGACGACGTTCCGACTATGAAAATATTTACGATGAGGGTCGCTCTCCAATGAGTGGAATAGTCGGCAGTAGTGGCGGTGGTAGYAGTGGTTATAAGACACGCGGTGGGGATTACATGTACGATCGAGAGCGTAAATCCTTCGATCGTGAAAGCGTCGAATCGTTTGAGAGCGCTACCCGACGTCGGCGTAGTTTTGGAAGTGGCGATGTGTATGGAAGCATGGAAAGCCACGAAGAATTTCGCGAACGTTATGGACCGGAGAAAACACGCTCGCTGCGAAAGGGCATGAAGTTGCGAGCTACAGGCGATATTGAGTACGAGCAAGATTCGGAGAATGATTTTCATCAGCGCACACGCATGACGGGCGGTGGAAGTAGTGTAAATGTACCGGATACGCGCAGTTTACAGCGCCCGAGCCAATTGATATCCAGTAATACGGGAAACACCATGAGCATGGGGCCCGGACAACCGCGGGCGCGTAAAAGTAGCGGTTCCAGTCCTTGGGATGGTGAAGGTAAGGGACAYAAACCTCGTTACTGTGAATCTCTTTTTTTATTGGTTCTTCTCTTAAAGAACCACCGTTGCCAGGTCAAAAATCCTGGAAACGTCCTTCAAGTGCTGCGGACACAGAACGACGACTGGCTGAAAGCAGGCGGGCTGCCGCACTCGGACAGACACCCTCCGGCTCTGATGGCGAAAAGGATCGCAGGTAAGTGTTTGTATGCACAGTTGTAGCGCTGATATAATATATGCATTACTTTTATTCAGGTTCCGCAAAAAACAGCGGTCACGTGGCAAAGATATTCCTTATAGCAGCTCGGTCCTACCACCGTCCAATACTAGTAGTCGATACAGTGGTACCGTTGCCGCAACAACTCATCCTCGTGACAATTACGATTAYATAACATACGACGACGACGATGTCGGTGACGAGGAAGACTATGCGGATGAGGACTATGACGAGCCGCCCACAGATGAGGACAAATTCGAACGCTTGAATAGGCGTCGCCATGAGATGCATCAACGTATGTTGGAGAGCGAACGCAGACAGCATTCTATGGGAAAAGTGCCCATTAGTTCCCTTAAATGTAGTGCTCCGACGGCGGCAACAAAGAAATATCCCACAAGAGGCGGCGAATATGATTTCGACGATTATGAACAATCTCCAACATCACGTTCGAATGCCAGCGCCAGTTTAGCAAGCGCCGCCAGCTCTTATATAGCTACGACTGGTGCCGGCGGCAGCGCTGGAAGTGCTRCGAAATTCAGTTTTGATGGTGGCTTTGAATCGGACTTCAACCAAAGCTCTCCACCGCCGGCACCCGCTGGCACTGCATCCAGCTGCAATTCGACGCCCGCAGCCACCACAGCGAGCGCATGYGTGACACCGGCAACCAAGTCGTCRTTYCGCTTCTCGAATGACTTCTCCGAACGAGAAAAATTGCATGGCTTCCCACAAAACTCCAACAGTGTAAGCAGCGCGCAACARTTGGACTTAGACAATACGCAACCACCAGCACCGCATGCCATGCCCCCCATMATCACGCARAAATTACGTTTCGACGATAATGTCAAAGTTTCACAATTCGACGACGCAGCTTTCGAAGATGACTTTTCGAATGCACAATTCGACTTCGAAAAGGAGGACCAATGGCACGCGGACTCATTGCAAAGCGCTAGCAGCGCCGCACTCATGACCACCGCTGCGAAAAAACACAATCTACGAAATAGCAAACTGCAACAGCGACAGGAACTGATCAAGAAATCMGAATCCATTAACATTTTCGGCAAGAAATCGGAGGATCCTTTCGAGGACGATGAGTTCTTCAAGGCGCCGGGCGGTGAAGGCGCATTAGCCAACAACAA